CCTTCCGACCTTCTCTAAACATCTTGTGCCATCTGTTGGACTGCGATCTGGAAAGGCAATCGTCCCCGAAGGCTTCCTTAAGCATTTCAAAAGTTTCGAGCGGCGTCTTTTTCAGCTTCACGCAAAACTTTATCGCATAGCGTTGCTCTAAAGTTTTCTCCATCATAAGTACGACGCGACTACTACGTAAACGTTCACAAAAAAAGCCGTCCTAACCCTCCAAGCGCACGGAGACAATTGATCGACCAACCATTGGAAAGCTAAGGGTTCCCCCTACTCTCCCCAACCGGTCCGAACGCATTGCGACGTATAGTCACGTCACAAAAAAATGCGACGCATTACTTTCCGGACAGACCCTGTAGTACAAAATTTTCTTGTGTTTAATCTTATAATGTAACTAGAAAAAAAGTTATTACTGTTTAAACACTATGAGGAATACTGTTACAACTGTCCTTAGCCCCAGGGACGGTTATAACATTAGAGGGGGCAGATTTTATTATATTATTTATAGATAAACACTTAGCTATTTATTAAGTTTTATGCAATACAATTATTTATAATCATATATGTTAATGTTACATGGATATATATAATATATATTTAATAAAATTAACTATAATAAAGTAAAAAGGACAATATTTATATAAAACAGGAAAAAAGCTCTCTCTTTTCTAATAAGTTCAAATAACATTGTGAGAAAAAAGCAATCAAATAAAACGAAGCAAATTTGGACACAAAATAACGCTGCAATCGTCTCCAGGCATCGATGTTCAATTGTCCCCTGATGATTTTTTATAATTCGAAGTAAAGTTTCAAAATAAATATATAGATGAAAATCAATTAAAATAATATATAATAATAATCAATTATAATAAATTGAAATATGCAAATCAACTTAAATGATCATTAAAATCTTTTTAGATAATACGTTATATAACTTCACCATAAAAAAAAATATTTTAAATTTGATGCACTTAATAAAACTAACTCGACGAATGAAGAAGGTATTTTTTATTCTTGCAACACGTGCACGTTTCGTGTGAACCAACAAGGAACTAACAAATCAATGTCGATCTATCTAATGATTTTTGCCTCACCGCCACATATACCTATATATCTAGTATAGTTTTAAAAATATTCACGATGTTACAACTATATCCTGTTATTTTTGTCCCTCCGGGTCTCCTCTACATTACTTTATATTTCTTTTATTTT